AAAATTCAAACTGAATATACTTTCCTTAATTTATATCTAATCAAACTACTACTACAATTTATAATACTAATATAAATTATTTAATTCAATAGATAAAAAACGTTCATTAAATAAAAAATCATCTCCAAATAAAAATAAGCGAATTAAAAAATCTAATTCAGCTAATAGTAATTCATTAAGCCAATTAGAGCAACAACTTTTACTTGAAGAGCGGCAATTAGAAATTGAAGAAAGAAGAGAAAAACTTCGAGAAGTAAAGCTTCACAATTATGAAAAAGCATGTGAATTAGGTATTGAGAAAGAGCTTGGATATGAAAATTAATATTTTTATATCTAGATAGTAAATTTGCAAAATATGTATTATTGTTATTATTTTTACAAAAACTGAATTCGGTTTTTGTTAAATTATATGTAGTACAATAGTAATTAATAAAATATAATACATAATAGCTTAAATAAATTAATAAAATATATTTAAATAGTATATTGAAATAAATAAATTAGTAACGTATTCTTTTAAAAAGTTTATAAATAAAAACTTTAGTAACGCATTTGTAAAATAGTTATTTAAAAATTAATTTATAGCGTATTTTTTAAAATACTTACCTGTTACTAAATAAGAGGTTTATTTAAATAATATAAATTTAAATTATTTATTTTATAACTATACAACTATACAACTGTACAAAATATATAATTTTTTATTATAAAACTTTATAGCATGTATAAATAATATAATATTTTTGCTATATACTTGTATAATGTATATATTTATAAATATACATGCTATACATGGTATTTTATAAGCTATACTATACATCTTTTCTAAGTTATACTATACATAATATTGTATATTCCGTCTAAATTTACATAACTATAAATACGCAAATTATTAGGATCACACGAGGGGGGAGGGTCTAAGAGAACAATTTTCTTTCCTGGACCTATGAAACTATAATATATTTCAGATTCCATTTTTTAATGTTTATAATTATATTGACTTATGAAAACAAGCAATTTCTTGGATGTTTTGAATTTTTTTATCAGTGACAATAATTCTCGATAACTTTTTAAATCATTTTTTAAAAGGTTGAATATGATATTAATTTTGATGTGTCAGCTTTTTTTAAAGATTGTTCACAGGTGACTGAATGTTTGTTATGCAAAATTTTTATGGAAATATTAAAGTCATACAAAGATATGTCTCATCGGTCTTCTAGTGAGCCTTAACATTATTACCCTTTTTTAAAAGGTTGTTACTGCTTTCGGAGTTTATATTAGTTTGTACTTTAAAATTTGAGTACGTTTGTATTATAAATTTTTTCTTATAACATCATATAAACGGCACATATATAAGCATAGCCCATATCTGCAGATTTTTCATAAGACGAATATACACTATCTAACTGATAGAGCTTTGAATAACAATCAGTCACTCAGTTCAACTAAATTCCAAACTTTGAGGTGCATTTTTTATGCGTCATTTTTCAATTTGCGTCGATTATGAATTGACGCCTGTCATTATTCAATTTTTAATGCAGATCATATTATAATCAACGATGGATTATGACAGACAGAACTTATTACGTATTATATTGATAT